CTACTACCTACTACCTACTACCTACGACCTACGACCTACTACCTACTGCCTACTACTACTACTACTACTACTACTACTACTACTACTACTACGACTACGACTACTACTACTACTACTACTACTACTACTACTACTACTACTACTACTACTACTACTATTACTACTACTACTACTACTATCACTCCGACTACTACTACTACTCCGACTACTACTACTACTACTACTACTACTACTACTACTACTACTACTACTACTACTATTGCTGCTGCTGCTGCTACTACTACTACTACTACTACTACTACTACGACTACTACTATTTCGACTACTACGACTACTACGACGACTGGGAAATTCTAGAAAGGGTCACTCGTCTTCGAGGGATTGGCGGAAGGCGCCGGAAGTAAAAGGTGTCGGCTTCTCCGGCGGGAGGCCAGCGGAAGCCGACGGAAGTGGAAGATGCCCACCCAAGAGACGACAGTGTTTGGGGGGTTCAGGGGTTCCAGAACCCGCCAGGTGAAGAGGCGGGTCGAAAAGTAGGAGGTCGCCCAGTGGAAACGCGCACTCGGCCAGGACAGGTGAGAGCACGGCCACGTGCACCGTAGCGCATTATTTACACATGATCGTGGCCGTTCGAACCAAAAATGTAGCCGTCGTGGGGGCGAGAGCACGATGCCTGAATAAATTGCGAGTATGTCTCTGGCGAAACGGTTGCCGGACCGGGTGTCCTCAGGCTCCCCGTCCCATTTGTGCGACTCCTCTGTGGCCCGTCAATAACCCTAGTAGAGCCCTCTGGCGAAACGCTCTTATGAAACAACACCATCAGCAGAGGTGTTCGGAGCTCCGCGCTGATTTCTTGAATCGACGCTGTGTCCCTGGCGCCAGCCACATCTGGCGCCGCCCCTGGCGGGCTCTGCGCCCCCGGGGATGAGGGGGCGCAGCACCGATCCAAGAAATCAGCGCGGGTCTCCGACAGTTTGTGTTTGCATGCCGTTGCTGGATCCTCTACAGGGTGGCCTCCGCTCCAAGTGCCCAGGGCGCTTCCTTCGCTTGCACGAGGGTTCGGCTGCCAGACCATGGACGTCGTCGACATCGATGACGAGGAGAAGATGGACCTGCCGCCAGCACCGCCCACGGCCTACCCGCCCCCGAGGACCCCCAACGGCCCCATGAAGTACGTGGAAGCGCGTCCCGCCTCCCGCGGCAGATTCGGCATAAGCCACGCATCCGGGGAAGAGGATTGGGACGATGGGCTTGGCGAGGAGCTCTACAGGCGCCTAGATACGATCGACGTCAAGCTTGACTGGCTGATCTCTCGCGTCAAGGTCAGCGGCATGCCCGACATCGGTTGTGGCGGCAAGTTGGACAGAAACGGCTCGCTGACATCCGTCGTGAGCATGCCTGACCAGTCCCCCTCGACCTCCCGGGCAGTCACGGAAGGCGACAAGACGCCGAAGCTCCGCAGCATTGCCGATGCAGGTTACAGGGCTGGACCTAGACGCTGTTTTGCTGGACTTCGGCTGTGCTTTGTTTTCGTTTCGGCAGGGAGGCACAGGACAAAAAGGCAGGGCAGAACGAGAGACGAAACGAAAAGAGAACGGAGAAGAACGCTCGTCACCACCCACCAAACCACCCCAACCCAACCCGAAGGCTCAGATCTGCCCTCCATTCCCAGTGGGGGGGGGGTCGCGGAACATCGAAAAAACACGCATGGAACCCTTACCCCCCCCCCCAACCCGAAATTCGGGCTTCTTCTGGGGCCCCTTTGGCCGTCTGGGGGCGATATTGAAGGTTTTTTTTGCCCGTCTGGGACGTTGTGAAAACCGAATAGGCGAGCATGCGAAAAATGCTTGTTTTTCGAAGGGAATGGGACGATTTTTGTTTCTTGGGACCCTTTGGGGGCGCATGTTGGGGGCCTTTTGGGGCGTCTTGGCAGCTTCGGAGGCCGCCTGGAGGGCGACTACAGAATTGATTTACCCCACCTTCGGGTTGGGTTGGGGTGGTCTGGGACAGTCAGCTCAGGTCCAGCCCTGGCAGGTCCCTCGGAGGCGCAGCCTCCGGGTGCGGTCGCCCCTCCCGCGCCCCGGTGGGACGAGGAGAGGGGCTCCATCGGCTTCGGCAGGGCCTGCAGGCAGTGCGGAGGGGAAGAAACACACACAGACAGTTAATGAATCGTCGATCCCCCAGAAAAGCTGGGGAAATGTGGGGAATGGGGGGGAAGACAGGAACCCAGAAAATAGGGGAGAACAGGGGGAATCCTTTTGTTCGTGTGTACCTCTCTGTGTGTCCTGGGGCCCCTGCAGGCAGATGACCTCCCTGTCCGACAGCACCACGCTGAACCGCCAGACGTCGGGCTTCGACTCGGGGAGGAAGGGCTCCACGCAGAGCAACGGGGGCCTGCTCATCCCCAACCTGAACAAGAGGCCCGGGAGGGGCGGCTCGGGCCGCTCGAACATCTCGATCCCCACGATGTTCAAGAGCCAGTTCGTGGCGCGGAGGACCCGAGAGGGCGGAAAGCTGCGCGGGCAAGGAAAACTCGCGGGGGTCCGCGCCAATCTCTGGGATCTGCGCCAGGAGCCCCTCCTCCTCCTCCTCCTCCTCCTCCTCCTCCTCCTCCTCCTCCTCCTCCTCCTCCTCCTCCTCCTCGCGGAGCGCGCCGGGGGGCGGCGCCGGAGGCGCCGCCGGGGGGCGCCGATCCGAGAAGCCCGCGCGGAGCTCCGAAAGTTTGTCGGCGTGCCGTTGCTTCTTCGTCGAAGGCTGTACGAGAAGTCACAGAACAAGGACATCGACCAGATGCAGAAGCGGATCCAGTCGCTGCCGAAGGCGATGAGGAAGAAGCGGAGCCCGACCGTCGATTACATCTACAACGTCCTGGAGGACCCCTCGTCGAGCAGGGTGGCCTGGTGGACCGCGTCGTGCCTGCAGGCGTTCGTGCTCCTGAGCGTGCTGGGCACCTTCCTGCAGACGATCGAGGACCTCGGAGGGGGGAGAGGTGCCGTCAAAATCCATGGTGAGCATGCGCTGCTTCATCAAGGCTACCCTTGCGTCCCTGCTTCTTCGGCCCATCCTAAGTCAGGGTTGACGTCCACAGAGCTCGAGTGGTGAATGGGCCCTCCGAGGGTCGTGGATCTTCACCCTGCACCCTCACCGTGGGTTTCGACCGTGCAATACCGTTGCCCTTGCCTCACCCGTGCCTCTTCGGGCCTCCCTGGAGGCCCTCGTCGCCCTGGCTGGATGCGCCTCGGAGCTCTGGCCGGGTCGCACCCCAGGAGAGGTCCGGGGATAGGGGACCAAAAAGTGGCACAAACATAAAAACTCAAAGGTCCGCGCGGATTTCTCGGATCGGCGCTGGGGCCCCCCGGCGGCGCCTCCGGCGCCGCCCCTGGCGCGCTCCGCGCGCCAGGGAGGGGGGTCCAGCGCCGATCCGAGAAATCCGCGCGGACCTCCGAGTTTTTCATGTTTATGTCACTTTTTGTTCCCCCCAGGGGAGCAGCGGCTCCCGCATCTCCTAGCGCCCCCAGGAGCCGCCCCTGAACGGGTGGCCGGCCGCCAGCGTCGTCGAGACCGTGTTCGACGTCGTGTGCTCACCCGCCGCTCTCCTCCCCTCCTCCCTCCTCCTCCTCCTCCTCCTCCTCCTCCTCCTCCTCCTCCTCCTCCTCCTCCTCCTCCTCCTCCTCCTCCTCCTCCTCCTCCTCCTCCTCCTCCTCCTCCTCCTCCTCTCCTCCTCCTCCTCCTCCTCTCCTCCTCCCCTCCTCCTCCTCCTCCTCCCTCCTCCTCCCTCCCTCCCTCCCTCCCTCCCCCTCCCTCCCTCCCTCCCTCCCTCCCTCCCACCTCTCCCTCCCTCCCTCCCCCTCCCTCCCTCCTCCCTCCCTCCATCATCCCCCTTGGCCCTCCTTCTCCTCCTCCTCGCCCAGGTTTCTGACGGAGGTCAGCCTTCGGTGGGCGTGTGCGCCGAACAGGGTGAACTTTGTCTTCGTCTCGGAGTCGTGGATCGACATTCTGGCAGCGAGCGCACTCGTGGTGCGGGCAGCGGTCGGCTTCGTGCTCCCAGACAGCCATGAAGATGTAGGTTCGATATATTTGCTGTGCTTTGTGCCGATAATCCGGTTATTGAAGGTTGCACGTCATTTCGAGACCCTCTTCGTGCTCATCCAGGCGGTCAAGGTCTCGATGGAGTCTCTTCCAATGCTGCTGTACGCTATGGCGCTGATCACGATGACGTTCGCTACTCTCATGTACGTAGTGGAACCAGAGATGTTCGAGACGCCATACCGGGCGGTGTGGTTTTGCCTAGCGACCATCACCACGGTTGGCTATGGGGATTATTCCCCGAGCACGCCTGCCGGAATCACAGTCGCCATGGTGTTGATAGTGTTGGGAATCATATTGGTGGCCGTGCCCATCGGCATTATCGGAATGACGTTCCACGAGATCTGGAACACGAGAGACTACTCGCTGCTGCTGCGGAAGACGCGGAGCAAGCTGCACCAGTGGGGCTACACGGCCCATGACATCCCAACGTTGTTCAAGCTCGTGGACTTTGACGAGAACGGGGTGCTGGAGCTCGACGAGTTCTGTGAGCTAGTGAAGGATCATCGAGAAAAAGAAACCCTAACCCGAACAACACGATGAAGACGTGGCCTCACTGAGGTCCCAGTCTTTGCATTAGGGATAAGAGAACTGGGCGGGCTGCTTCAATACGCCTGCAGAAACAACAAGACCCCCCAGGTGTTCCTAGTGTTCCTGGCCCTCCTAATGTAGGTCCCCTCCCAGAGGTTCAGGGGTCCTTTTTGGGGTTATTCAAAGGAGATGAAGATCGGCCTCTCCGAGCCTCGCGTCGTCGCCCTGTTCGAGCACATGGACAAGGACGGCAGCGGGGCGCTGGACGCCGCCGAGTTCGCGCTGGAGGCCCCGGCGGCGAGACCCGGGCCCCGCCCCTGCCGCTCGATTGCCGCGGAGGCCCGTGCCAAGAAGCATCCTGCCCGCCTCCAGGGTGCCCTGGGCGTCTTGGGCCTCGGTGGCTCTGCCACGCAGGGCGTGATGCCCCCCACGCCAAAAATCAGTGGACGTCCTGGGTTTTCAGGGCGGGGCTTCTCGCGAAAAGGGTGCTCGTGGCCGCGCTCCTGCTGTATTCGGGCACGTCGATGGTCGGCGGGGGAAGGGTACGGAGTTCGTCGACCACGTGGCGAAGTCCAAACCCCCGCCAGGGGGGGCCTCCTCCTCCTCGTCCGCTACCTCCTCCTACTCCTCCTCCCGCTCCTCCTCCTCCTCCTCCTGCTCCCCCTCCTGCGCCTCCTCCTCCTCCTCCTCCTCCTCCTCCTCCTCCTCCTCCTCCTCCTCCTCCTCCTCCTCCTCCTCCTCCCCCTCCTCCTCTCCTCCCCTCCTCCTCCTCGCCTCCTGCTCCTCCCCCTCCTGCTCCTGCTCCCCCTCTTCCTGCTCCTCCCCCTCCTCCTCCCCCTCCTCCTCCTCCTTCCCCTCCTCCTCCTCCTTCTGCCCCCCGCCTCCTATCGATTCAGGAGAGGGTGTGGTTGGTGAGGGCAGGGGTGCGGACGTTGCCGCCCGAGGTCTTCCCGGAAACATTCGTCGAGGCGTTCGGCCACGCGGAGGTGACCAAAGACCCCGACGGACCGAAGGGCCCCGGAGCATTGGCTCTCCCCCTCCTCCTCCTCCTCCTCCTCCTCCTCCTCCTCCTTTCTCCTCCCTCCTCCTCCTCCTCCTCCTCCCGTCCTCCTCCTCCTCCTCATCCTCCTCCTCCTCCTCTCCTCCTCCTCCTCTCCTCCTCCTCCCTCCTCTCCTTCCTCCTCCTCCTCCCCTCGCCTCCTCCTCCTCCTCCTCCTCCTCCTCCTCCTCCTCCTCCTCCCCCCTCCTCCTCGATCCTCCTCCTCCTCCTCCACCTCCTCCCTTTTCTCCTCCTCCTCCTCCTCCTCCTCCTCCTCCTCCTCCTCCTCCTCCTCCTCCTCCCCCTCCTCCTCCTCCTCCTCTGGCCGCCTGAGCAGGGCCCACTTCGATTCCTCCGCCCCGACTCGATTTGATGTCGATCGATTCCAAGTCGGCTCGACTGGAGTTCGGATATCCCGATTTGGATTTCGGCTTCTCAATGGGGAGGTCTTACTCGCCTGCCGAGTTCCGCCGATTCGATTCTTCCGACACGGCTGCCGATTTCCGCCGATCCGATTCACGTCGATCGCCGATTCGACTTCTAGATTCGATGCTTGGGCCCTCGTGGCATAAGGGGAGGAGAGAGGGCCCCCCTCGTCGCCACGGCTGGCGCGGCTGAAAAAACGTGTCAATTTCGACCTCGGGAGAGGCGTGTGGGGACCGAGTTCGAATGAATCTGCCATCATCCCGAAGCAGCACGGACAAACTTTCGTAGGCCCGCGCGGGTTCATCGGGTCGACGCCGAGGCCCCCCCCGTCTTGTGACGAAACGACTGTTCGGCCGCAGCGCTTTGCCCGCACTGCAGCCTTCGGGGCCGATTTCGGACCCCGGGACCATCGACATTCATCCGGAATGCGAAGCCACCCCAGGGAAGAGGCCGGGAGCGCCTGGGGCCGCGGATTGCAACGAGCAGCAACAAAAAATCAGAGCATGGCTGGGTATCCCTGCACTCGTGCTGGCGCCTCCGCCAAGCCCCCCGGCGCGCTCCGCGCACCGGGGAGGCATGTGGAGAGGGGGCCCAGCGCTGACCCAAAGAGTCCGTGCGGAGCTCCAGAAGTCTGTGTCTATGCTTCAGTCGGGCCTGTCCCTCGGCAGGAGGAATATTCAACAAGAGTCCAAAAATGGTCAGGGGGCGATGTTCCGAGTAGGTTTGACTATGTTGGATTATGTTTGACTGGTTTATCTTTCCTCCAGAATCCGCCTGTAGGGGGACATGCTCGACCTAAGTCTATGCAAAGTTTGGGCCTTCCAGGAGAGAGCTCCAATTGGATGGCGAGTTTGGCAGCCGCGATCAACGGGGGCAAGAAGATCTCATTGGACGAGAAATGATTTAGATTTTCAGAGCCATGGAGCGTCCCTCTCTGTGGTTGGTCGCCTGGCTGACTGCTGGCAAGCCCTCATATACTATTGTTTTTTGGGCCCTTGAGCCTATGAAGTCTGCCTTGAGCCCCTCTTTCTCCTGCTCTTTCGAAGTAGAACAAGAAGAACAACAACAATAATCAATCCCAAACTGTTCGCTCTCATCTGCCCGCGTGTCCTCAGCAACAACAACAAGTATGGTCAGACTGCTCGTTCTTACTTATTCGCATGTCATTCCGTATGTATACCCCAAACACTCGATACCCGCCCTTTTCATATTCGACCGCACCCCACTTGGGGGTATATCTTTCTCATCTGCCACGTGTAGTTGGCGCAGCCCCTAAAACAGGGGAGGGGAGGGAGGAGGGAAGGGACAAAGAAGAGGGAGGAGGAAGGAGCACGACAGAGATTAGCAGGAGGGGGTTGAGAGCAGAAAGTCAAGCGGCTGAACCAGACAGGCAGGCCGGGCGGGCGGACCTTAATGGGCGGGGCGGGCAGGCGGGCCCAGACGGCCGGGTCGTGAGGGCAGGTCGTTGAAGCGTCAGTCTTGCATGCAAGTTGCGAGAAAGTCCTGAGCGATAGTGCGATTCCTAAGTAAATCGTGAGGAAGAGTCCAGCGAGAGCGTGGTTCTTGAGCGTCGAGGGCGCGGCGTTTCAATGAAACGCAAGGAAGTCCCACACGAGCTCGCGAAATCTGGATAGATTGCAGGGGGATCCCGCACGAGAGTGCGATTTTGAATGGTTTTATCTATATATATATATATACACATACACATATATATATAGCCTGGCGAAGAACCCAACCATGTGCAGTTGTCAGTACCGCAGCTGCGGGTTTCATCTCCTTTGGAACTCCCCACAGGACCACGGAACGTGTGAGGGGTGTGCCGAGATGGGTGCCACTGGGGCATTCGGCGAAGCTCCCTATGGGGACATGAAACACGCGCGGGGCGTGCCGACATGGGTGGCGGAAACGCCTGTGAGGGCCGCCACTGGGCCCTTTGGTGGAGCTCCCTATGGGTCCCCGAAACATGATGCTGCTGCGGGGGGGGGTGCCGAGATGGGTGGCGGAGACGCATGTAAGCGCCGCTACTGGGGCCTTCGGTGGAGCTCCCTATGGGGCCACGAAGCGCGTGAGGGGTGTACTGAGATGTGTGGCGGGGACGCATGTGAGCGCCGCCACTGGGGCCTTCGGTGCAGCTCCTTATGGGGCCACGAAGCGTGTGAGGGGTGTGCCGAATTGGGTGCGGGTGGTGACGCATGCGGGCGGTGCCACTGGGGCCTTCGGTGGAGCTCCCTATGGGGGCACGAAACCTGTTGTTGCGAGGGGCGTGCCAGGATGGGTGGCGGGGACACATGTGAGCGCGGCCGCTGGGGCCTTCGGTGGAGCTCCCTATGGGGCCACGAAATGTGTGAGGGGTGTGCCGAATTGGGTGGGTGTGGGTGACGCATGTGAGCGCCGCCACTGGGGCCTCTGGTGGATGATGGGGCCACGAAACCTGTGAGGGATGTGCCGAAATGGGTGTGCGGGACGCATGCGCATGTGAGCGCCGCCACTGGGGCCTTCGGTGGAGCTCCCTATGGGGCCACAAAGCGTGTGAGGGGTGTGCCGAATTGGGTGTGCGGGACGCATGCGGGCGGCAGCACTGGGGCCTTCGGTGGAGCTCCCTATGGGGTCACGAAACGTGTGAGGGGTATGCCGAAATTGGTCTGCGGGACGCATGCGGGCGGCAGCACTGGGGCCTTCGGTGGAGCCCCCTTATGGGGCCACGAAACATGTGAGGGGTGTGCCGAAATATGTGTGCGGGACGCATGCGGGCGGCAGCATTGATGCTTTCGGTGGAGCTCCCTATGGGGCCACGAAACGTGTGAGGGGTGTGCCGAAATGGGTGTGCGGGACGCATGCGGGCGGCAGCGCTGGGGCCTTCGGTGGAGCTCCCTATGGGGCCACGAAACGTGTGAGGGGTGTGCCGAAGTGGGTGTGCGGGACGCATGCGGGACGGCAGCATGGGGCTTCGGTGGAGCTCCCTATGGGGCCACGAAACGTGTGAGGGGTGTGCCGAATTGGTGCTTTCGGTGGAGCTCCCTATGGGGCCACGAAACGTGTGAGGGGTGTGCCGAAGTGGGTGTGCGGGACGCATGCGGGCGGCAGCACTGGGGCATTCGGCGGAGCTCCCTATGGGGCCACGAAGCGTGTGAGGGTGTGCCGAAATGGAGGGAGGAGGGAGGGGGAAGAGGAGGAGAGGAGGACGCAGAACGCGGAGACCGTCTCTTCAAAACGAGGGCCCAACACCACAGGATAGTTGGGAAAAAATATCCCGCGGTAGCCGCTGTTGTCATAAATCGGAGGCCAGGGGCGCAGCCTGACGCGCAAGATTTTCCCTTGTAGGAAACAGGGTGCGAGCCCTGGGAGGTGCGTTTCATTTGAAATAACCAGGTGCACTCGAGAGGGGGATCGGCAATATTTCCCAACCCTCTCTTGGTGGGGTACTCGTTTTGAATAGGGCACTGTCTGCCCCGTCTTTCTCCTCCTCCTCCTCCTCCTCCTCCTCCTCCTCCTCCTCCTCCTCCTCCTCCTCCCCCCGCCTCGTCCCTTCTCCCTCCTCTCGGTCTCTCCTCCCGCTTGCGCCCTGCCTCGTGCTCGCAGCTCGCTCGGGTGTCGTCACTTGCGCAGCGGAGGTGCCGTGGGCTCCTGGGAGGCCCAGCGGAGGTGCGTCTTACGCAGATCACCATGAGACCTCGCCGTCCCCAGTGGGGCTGCGATCTGCGAAACCGTCGCCACTTTCGGGGGAGTCTTGAGAGCCCCAGCGGAGGTGCCTCTTACGCAGGTCACCATGAGACCTCGCCGTCCCCTGAGGGGCTGCGATCTGCGAAACTGTCGCCACTTTCGGGGGAGTCCTGGGAGCCCCAGCGGAGGTGCGTCACCATGAGACCCCGCCGTCCCCTGAGGGGCTGCGATCTGCGAAACTGTAGCCACTTTCGTGGCCTTCCAAGAAGCCCAGCGGAGGTGCGTCTTACACAGATCACCATGAGACCCCGCCGTCCCCTGGGGGGCTGCTATCTGCGAAACTGTAGCCACTTCCGTGGGCTCTTGGGAGGCCCAGCGGAGGTGCGTCTTACGCAGATCAACATGAGACCTCGCCGTTCTCTGGGCGGCTGCGATCTGCGAAACCGTCGCCACCTCCGTGGGCTCCTGGGGGCTCAGCGGAGGTGCGTCTTACGCGATCACCGCGAGACCTCGCTTCCCCCTGGGGGGCTGCGATCTGCAAAAACCGTTGCCACTTTCGTGAGTTCCTGGGAGCCCCAGCGGAGGTGCATCTTACACAGATCACCATGAGACCCCGACGTCCCTTGGGGGGCTGCGATCTGCAAAACTGGCGCCACTTTCGTCAGCTCCCGGGGGGGCCAGCGGAAGTGCGTCTTACGCAGATCACCATGAGACCCCGCCGTCCCTTTGGGGGCTGCGATCTGCGAAACTGTAGCCACTTCCGTGGGCTCTTGGGAGGCCCAGCGGAGGTGCGTCTTACGCAGATCACCACGAGACCTCGCCGTCCGCTGGGAGGCTGCGATCTGCAAAAACCGTCGCCACCGCCGTGGGCTCGTGGGAGGCCCAACGGAGGTGCGCCTTACGCAGATCACCATGAGACCCCGCCGTCCCCTGAGGGGCTGCGATTTGCGAAACTGTCGCCACTTTCGGGGGAGTCCTGGGAGCCCCAGCGGAGGTGCGTTTTACGCAGATCACCACAAGACCTCGCCGTCCCCTGGGGGGCTTGCGAAACCGTCGCTACTTTCTTGGGCGCCTTGGAGGCCCAGCGGAGGTGCGCCATACGCAGATCACAATGAGACTTCGCTGTCCCTTGGGGTTGGCGCGATCTGCGAAACGGTCGCCGCGCTCGTGGGGGCCACTGGGAGGCCCAGCGGAGGTGCGTTTTACGCAGATCACTATGAGACAACACCGTTCCCTGGGGGACTGCGATTTGCGAATCAGTCGCCACGTTCGTGAGCTGGGAGGCCCAGCGGAGGTGCGTCTTACGCAGATCACCATGAGACCCTACCGTCCCCTGGGGGGCTGCTATCTGCGAAACTGTAGCCACTTTCGCGAGCTCGTGCGAGGCCCAGCGGAAGTGCGTCTTACGAAGATCACCGCGAGACCTCGCCGCCCGCTGGGGGGCTGCGATCTGCGAAACTGTAGCCACTTCCGTGGGCTCGTGGGAGGCCCAGCGGAGGTGCGTCTTACGCAGATCACCACGAGACCTCGCTTTCCCTTGGGAGGCTGCGATCTGCGAAATCGTCGCTACTTTCGTGGGCTCCTTGGAGGCCCAGCGGAGGTGCGTCTTACGCAGATCACCATGAGACTTCGCCGTCCCCTGGGGGGCTGCGATCTGCGAAACTACCGCCACCTAAAGTGGGCTCCTGAGAGGCCCAGCGGAGGTGCGCCTTACGCAGATCACCACGAGACTCCACCGTCCTCTCGGGAGGCTGGGATTTGCGAAACTGTCGCCACTTTCGTGGGCTGCTGGGAGGCCCCCCGGAGGTGCGTTTTACGCAGATCACCATGAGACCTCGCCGTCCCCTGGGGGGCTGCTATCTTCGAAGCTGTAGCCATTTTCGCGAGCTCCTGCGAGGCCACGAAGGGCAGCGAGGAGGCCACCAAGGGTTGCAACGGGGCCACGAAGGGCAGCGAGGGGGCCACGAAGGGCTGCAACGGGGCCACGAAGGGCAGCGAGGGGGCCACGAAGGGCTGCAACGCGGCCACGAAGGGCAGCCATATCCCGATTCCCAAATCATTTGTGAGGGAGTCCTAAGCGTGAGCGCGACTCCTGGGTGCCTGGGTGTCGGGAGCGCGACGTTTTAGTAAATTGCGGGAAATTCCAACGCAAGGGCGCTATTCTAAGCAAGTCTTCAGCGAGAGCGCGACTCCAGAGCGCCGAGAGAGCGATTCTTGAATACAATGCGAGGACTCTCAGGCGGGAGCGGGGTCCTGGCTAAATTGTCAGGAAATCTCAGGTGGGAGTCGTTGTCGTTGTTGTTGTTGTTATACCCGGGGGGGAGCCAACAACACAGTTTGAGGAGGAAGAGCTACCCTGATAAAAACGGGGTGCGGGCGCCA